CTACAGCAATGCAATGTAAGTGTTGCTAAGGCAACCAGTTGGAGCATGGAGCAAGGGCCTCTATGGGTCAAAGGCAGATCTTGTGATCTTGTTGTGATGAGTGTAGAAAGAGAATAAAGTGAAAAAACTGACTTTGATCATGTTACAGACTAATTCACATTAGTGAAAGCAAGTGAGGTACAGTTATCATTTTCATGTAGTGCCATAACTTATTAGTAAAAAAAGATTTCAGAATTTGACTTGTATTCTAAGTTGATTACGTTGGTGAAGTTACCGATAATATGGATGTTAAATATTTAAATAGGGACTCAATTTCACTGCTTTTCATAAGCATTATTTTCCATAGATGCACCCTTGCATATAGCGCACCCTGGAAATCACATTGGGTGTAGTTAGTGATAGGACACAGCGATAGTCTTGCATTACATCATGCTTGTCAATCGTTCCAGATTTGCTGGGGCAGTCACGCATTTTACTAGGCTGTTCTGGGATGACTGTGTCCTGGGCAGCAGAGACAGCAGCAGCCTGTCACTAGGCTAAACCTACAATCAAAATTACATCTCCCCAGCAGTTTTTGGTGATCTTCCATTGCTTTTTCAGGGCTTAGGGAAGAATCCCCGAGGAGGAGCATTTTACCACTGCTGCTGCTTGTGTGGGGAAACGTCATTCTGGTTGTAGATTTAGCCCATTGACAGCCTGCCATAACAGGTAAAATATACGACAAAAGCCTCCACACACCGCTCTGCTTGAATAAATATCTTTATTATACATTACTGCACCTTATACTGTACAGTCCTGACCCCCCTGTACTGTGCCCTTCCACCCCACCTCTACTGTGCCCTCCTGTTCCACTGTACTGTCCTCTACTACCCCACTGTACTGTGCCCTCCTGTTCCCCTGTACTTTCCTCTACTACCCCACTGTACTGTGCCCTTCTAACCCCCAAACTATGGCTCAGTGCCCCCCCATACTGTGCCTTCCTTCCCCCTTAACTGTACCTCCCTGCCTATCCTGTACTGTGCTCTCCTGTCCCTCTGTACTGTGCCCTCCTGCTCCCATGTTCTGTGTATTTCTGTCCCCTCTGTAATGTGCCTCCCCTCCTGCCTGCCTGCTAATGTGCCCTCTTTCTGCCCTGTACCTATCAGGAATATTCCCTTTTCCACCCTTTCTAGTGTTAATGAGGAGGTGGAAACTGAGCTCCTTGCACAAATAGAAAAGCTGCAAAGGCTGAGACAGTGATAACAATGCTAGCTTTTTAACAACCCTGAAATTGATTGGAGTAATGGCACTGCTGAAACAGCAAAAGGGTGGAAATGTATAAATCTATTACAGTCTACTACAAGACAATTTTATGGTATGGATTAAAGAAACCTATACTAGAAATGATTCAAAGCTTATTATTAATGTTCATATAAAATAAAGTCTGGGTAGCAGTGAGCATAACATGATTTTATTTAATGTAAGCTGTAAACAACAAGCACAAACTGCAAAGATAAAAACTCTTTAATTGATTGTAAAGTCTTTTTCTAATTGATATAATAAACCGGTTTACACTAACTTGCTCTGTGCTGTATAGATACAGGAGTAAGGTAATCGTTAGAGGGAGGACGAGGGAACACCGAATGGAAGGTTTTTTTACCTTAATGCAGAGAATGCATTAATGTAAAAAATAAACCTTAGACTTTAAAACCACTTTAATTTTAAGAGAGCAACGTTTTTATTTTTTTATTGTTGTCAAAGAACAAAAACAGAAAATGGAAATGTTTAACATTAAGCTCATGTCCAAAGTTTAAAAAGTTATAGAGAATAATAAAAGAACTTTTAAAATATAAAAACAAAGGAACACTATCAAGTAACACTATCATTTGAAAATGAAAAAAAAAAAAAATTTAAAAAGGAAATCAAGGCCATAAAAATTCAAAATGAACTACAGTTGTAAAAGAGAATAGAACAACCCCCCAAATATTCTTCAAATATATTAATAGTAAAAAGATCAGGCCTTTACAAAAATAATTAAAGAGTGGGTGACTGGGTTCAAAAAGAAGGCAAATGTTTTTTATACCTTATTCAGCTCTGTGTATAGGAAAACGGGAGCGGAGGAAAATGATAATGGCCATAGTATTGACATAGACCCAAAAGAACTTCAATAGCTCAAAATATATATGGTTTAGAAATATTTAGACAAAATAAATCTTTATAAAGCACTAATTGAGCTTTGATATTTCAAAGTGGTTGTTTCTAATTTTTAAAGTCTCTTTGGTGACTGGCATAGTACAATTAGATTGGTGTGAGGTCAAGGTGGTACCTATATATTAAAAAGGGATCAAAGTATTTACCAAGTAACTACAGACTGGTTAATTTAACTTCTATAGTCGGGAAGATACTGTAATTGAGGGTTTTATCAAACTGAAGAGGGTTTTTTTTGCTAGAAATGAATATTTTAAGCACATACTACGTGAATTCAGCTAAACAGCACGGATAATTTAAGAGTTTTAGATTAAACGTGCCATTTATGTGTTTACAAATGACACCAAGCTATGTAGTGAATAATGCCCTAAGGGTGTCTCAAACATACAAGCATTGTTTAATTGGGCAGCTATTTGGCAAATGAGGTTTATTGCTGATAAATGTAAAGCTATGCACTTGGGGGCTAAAAACATACATGCACCTTACAGGGGGAGTTAATGATTGAGAAGGATCTGGGTGTTCTGGTAGATCATAGACTTAATAATAGCATGCAAAGCCATGCTGAGGTTTCTCAAGCAAGCAAAATACTTTATTTTGTTAAAAGAGGTATAGACACCAGAAAGGAGGCATAAATTTGCCTCTGTACAAAGCATTAGTAACACCTTATCTGGAATATGCAGTTCAGTTTTGGGCAACAGCTCACAATAAGGATATTGGGAACTGTAGAAAGTACAGAAAGTATAGAGAAGGGCAACCAAACTGATAAGAGGCATGGAGGAGCTCAGCTATGAGGAAGGATTAGAGGAACTGAATTTATTCTCTCTTGAGAAGAGGAGATTAAGTGGTCCATATAGTGAAAATGTGAAAGACTATCTCAAGATCTGGTTTTAGTCAGCTCAGTGGATTGTTTGAAAAAAAAAAAAAAGGGCTGGATTATTTTCAAAATGCACAAAATATAACTGGATACTAGGTAAATATCTAGGGAATATTCGGTTGCCTCTTAGGGGATTGGGAAGGATTTTTTTTTCTCTGTTGCAACAAATTGGATCATGCTTCATTGGAGTTTCTAGCCTTCCTCTGGATCAGCTGTGGGTTTCAGGACTGTGTATATGGAGATTTTCTATTTGTGCGTGTTTGTGTGTGTTTTTTTTTTCCTCTGTGGGCTGAACTGGGTGGTCTTGTGGTTTTTTTTTTTAAACCAGACTGTGTAGCTATATTGTTGCAAGGCAAGTAACTGCAATGCACAAAAGCAATAAAGAAGTAAATTAATATGTTTGGATGCGTTAAACTAACTCACATGAATACTAGGCTATAGTGAGATGATCAACCTAAAATACAATAATACTAAACCAAATTAACCTGGTTTACACAGTGTTAATAAAGAACAGCAAAGACAGTGAAAAATCTAAATAGCACGAAAAGGTTTCACAATACCTCTCTGCAATAACTGGCCAAAAGATGCTCCAGAGTGCACCCTGTGATTTTTACCCCTGGATGTGGATATGCATAGGTGCTCCTGAAGGGGTACCCCTGGAAGGTGTTTTTATTATACCTGATGACTAATTTGCATTCATAAGCTGGCTAGTGTTGGGGCCTGATCTGCACGGTGGTGCACTTGTTACCATCTCTTTAAAACTGCATGCAGTGAATGACTGTTGGGCTGCTAAGTAATGAGCAGCCAGCATCTCTGGTGGCTCGGTCCTCAGGATTAGGTACTCACAAGGCTCGTTCCTCTCTGGTGTGAGCACACACCACTCACAGCTCCGGTCCCAGTACACAGTGGCTTAATCCCTCAGCTCTCAGAGTACGCAGAACACTGCAATAGGTCCATACTCTCCATGGTTGCCACACAGGAGACACCAATCTATATATCTCCAGTTCTCAGCAGCAAACACTCTGGTCAGACTCTAAATTCCCCCGTAAACGCTCTCTCCCTCCCCCCATGATTATATAGATTTGTGGGTCTTTAAGTTTGCAGCCCTATTCACCTGCACAGTATAGCGCTCCTTCTGCACTACAAGTCCCATGATCCAATAATACATACATTAAAATATTATAGAATAGAAATAATATTGCTGTCTTCCATAATTCAAATGTCTAAATCTAAACTGTGAATAGAATAGAATACAATAAAAAGATTATAGCAGTCTTCTGAAATTTGGAAAGAATAGAGAAGAATAGAATAGAAAATGAAATAGAATAGAATAACATAAATATAGCCATCTTTCAAAATTCAAATTTGTAACAGAATTAAAAAAAAAAGGAAGAATATAGCCATCTTCCGAAATTCAAAATTTGAAAATAATAGAATAGAATACAATTGAATAGAATAGAAAATAAAGGAATAGAACAGAAAAGAATAGAATATAAAAAAAAATGGAATAGAATATAACAGATTAAAATAGAAAGAATATAGCCATCTTCTGAAATGTTCTTCTCTTAGTAGTTCTAATATACATTTACTACAACAGCTGCACAAACCTATTTAAACCAAACCAATTAACTTAACTTCCAATCAGATTTTGTGGCACTTCAGAGATTTACTAATGATTACCACAAACCTTTCTTTTTGGGCTGTGAAGAAACATAGTGAGTCACACAGTTTGGTTAGAAAATATGACCCTGTGTTGAAACAATATAGGAATGTGTTCTCATGATAGTTCATACAGGTCTTGCTAAAAAAAAAAAGTATAAAAGTATATTTGTATTGAAATAAAATACATTGTATATATTTGTATATTGACATAAAAATATTTCCAATTTTTCCTTAGAGCTGGGTGCTGGTTTTGCAGGATTTGGTGTTTTCTTCCTAATATTTTGGTGTTTTGCTATACTTTGACACTGTGCTTCTTGCTTTTGGAAATGTAAGTATTTGCTATGTACAATGCTATTGCCTTTTAACTGAAAACGAGAAATAACCTATGTTTTGTATTATAGATTTTGTTTCTGACCGGCCTAGCACTGATTATTGGTCTCAGACGGACATTCAGTTTCTTCCTTCGGTGGCACAAACTGAAAGGCAGCTCCTTTTTTATAGGGGGAGCTTTTCTGGTTCTCCTGCGATGGCCAATAATTGGAATACTTTGTGAGTTGTACGGCTTCATTAATCTATTTAGGTAACTCTGCTTAGTGTTATATGCAACATGTTAATGATTAATATCACTGAAATATACTGTATACAGCAACTAGGGTAAAGTAGTCACAACTAAGCAGTGCTGCAAGTGGTGTAGACAAACTAGGTGGAAACCTAGAGCTACAAGAGATAGAAAGCAATCTATAATTTAGTTGTCATATCATCTTGTGGTAAACAATTGATGGAATGTACAGCCGCTCTGCGCTAATATGATTAAAGCAGTATGTGTTGGTGCAGTGGGTGGAACATAACACACACGGAGAGCAGGAGTACACACAAGGCTTTTATTGAAAGGCAAGGAAAGCAGAGTTCTGGTAGGCAAACGGGTAAATCTGTAACACAGGGCTGAACACACTACAGGGATGGCAGGACTCCAACTCCGAGGTTTGGATGTGTTCACAGCCAGGAAGCACAATCCCACCGCTTGCCACCAATGTAACGGAACCGGACCCAGTCTGCACTTGGGTATTTCCGTTATACTACCACTTCCCCGTCCGAACACAGATCCACGGACACCACTCAAAGTAAAATCAGGAAATAGACTGCTTTAACACAGACACAAGATATACACATTCAAGTGTACAACCCCCCTCCCTGCATATGGACACAAGGCGGGGCAAACCAACACACACATCAGCAGACACCCCCTACCAAGCCAATACACAAACACATACATCCCATAATAGTTTGCTCCCAAGCAAGACACACAATAGAACAATGGGATGCACCACATGGCAGTAGAAAATGAACAACCCCCACACCAATATTAGAACATTTCACCCTGTACCCCTAACAGGCACAGGGTGACTTACACATAATAGGGATATGGGGAGCTGAGACAGGGGTCTCCCCACCCCTACAAAAGGGGCTGTGTTCCATGGTGGGGACCATCACATTTTTCCCCTTTCGGCAGGAGACTAACGCAGGAGTAAACCCCAGACGGGTGGACTCCGAAGTTAGTCTGTACTTCCAGTCCCCCAATGCCAGCACCCACACAGTACCCCAAGCAAATTGTCCCAAACAAAGCATTACTCACCCAGCCAACCTCTGCCTCTCTCGGAGAACATACCCGCCGCTGGGGAGAAGTATGGGCAGTCCTTCTCCCTGAAGTCCTCTCAGCCACTGGAGAGAGGACAGGGTGGGTGGGCCGACTCCATCATGCTGTTGGGGATCTGGGCCGACTGCCCAGGATCCCTGGGGTATCCAGGTGGTGACTGTAGTTGCTAGGCAGAGGCCAGCGGTGCTCTGTCCTGTTGCCAGCACTTCTGCTGGGGACCCCACATCTGCTCCGGCTAACTGTAGGGGAGGGAGGCTGGCTTCCTTCACTCCCAGACTGTGGATCTGCTGCTGGGATGGCATTCCTCTGTCACTGTCCCCCTGGTGCACAGATCCTGGCTTGGGAGGGAAGACAGTTTTCTCTAACCTGGCTCACTGTAAGGGAGGAAGGACAACAACCTCCTCTCTCTTCTCCCCCTGGGCCTCTGAAACTACCGCAGTTGTAGGGCAGAGGTCCTGGACCCTCTGTCCGGTTGTCAGTGCTTCAGCTGGAGAAGTTTCTTCTACCTCCAAAGATGCTGCTGGCAGGAAATCCCATGTTCCGGTCAGTGGTGTAGGAGAAAGGCTGGCCGCCTCTTCTCTCAGGGAGACTGAAGCGGTTGTTGGTACTGGGTAGATGGGTAGAGCTTAGCAATGTCTGGCCCTGTTGCCAGCTCTTCTGCTGGAGGCTCACCAGGTGGTTTTTCCTCAACAGAGAAGTCTATCAAATCCCCAGTCTCTGGAATGGCTAAATGTTCAGGGCACGGGCTGGTGGCCCTTGGGCCCAGTGCCAGCACTTTGGCAGGTGACTCATCACCCACAACATCCTTCAGTGAAAAATCCATTGGATCCATACATTCTAGGATCTGTAATTGGAGTGATGAGCCAACTTCTCCATCTTCCATACCCTCATCCAGCTGTTGGACAGACGCATTCCTCCATCCAAGCTTGTCCCGTGCAGAAACAGGATCGTCTAAATAAGCCAGCACTTGCTACATCCGCCATAAGACCTCCGTTTCCATAGCTGCAGGTGGTATCTGTATCTCTCCTCTCCTGCTATACGAACCTAGGATTCCGGTGGAGGGTTGGATGTTTCAGACTGCAGGTGACTCATCACCCATAACATCCTCCAGTGAAAAATCCATTAGGTCCATACATCCTGGGATCTGTAATTGGAAGGATGAGCTGACTGCTCCATCTTCCATACCCTCATCAAGTTGTTGAACAGACGCATTCCTCCATTCAAGCTCGTCCCATGTAGAAACAGGATCGTCTAAATAAGCCAGCACTTGCTGCATCCACCATAAGACCTCCGTTTCCATAGCTGTGAGTGGTATCTGTCTCTCCTCTCCTGCTATCCGAACCTTGGATCCCGGTGGAGGTTTGGATGTGTTCACAGCCAGGAAGCACAATCCCACCGCTTGCCACCAATGTAATGGAACCGGACCCAGTCTGCACTTGGGTATTTCCGTTATACTACCGCTTCCCCGTCCGAACACAGATCCACAGACACCACTGGAAGTAAAATCAGGAAATAGACTGCTTTATTCTAACACAGACACAAGATATAAACATTCAAGTGTACAACCCCCCCTCCCTGCATATGGACACAGGGTGGGGCAAACCAAATCTAGCAGTCAGAGACACATCAGCAGACACCCCCCACCAAGCCAATACACAAACACATACATCCCATAATAGTTTGCTCCCAAGCAAGACACACAATAGAACAATGGGATGCACCACATGGCAGTAGACAATGAACAACCCCCACACCAATATTAGAACATTTTACCCTGTACCCCTAAAAGGCACAGGGTGACTTACACATAATAGGGATATGGGAAGCTGAGACAGGGGTCTCCCCACCCCTCCAAAAGGAGGCTGTGTTCCATGGGCCCCCCACCCAAAGTAACTCCCTTCACATGCCCCATCATTGGTATCAATGGGAGTCACAATGTCCCATTGTTGGTATCAATGCAAGGAATAGTGCCCCGCCATTGGTATCAGTGGAGGGAATAGTGCCCCATCATTGGTGTAAGTGGAAAGAATAGTGCCCCATCATTGGTGTCAATGGGAGGAATAGTGTCTCATTATTGGTGTCAGTGGGAAGAATGGTGCCCCGATGTCAGTATCAGTGGTAGGAACTATGTCGCACTGTTGCTAGCAGTGGGAGGAGAGCCGATAAAAGCAAGTAAAGGGCCGCATATGGCCCCCGAGTCACAGTTTGGAGACCACTGGCTTACATGGATGAGACCATCCACTTACCACTGGCAGGTGTGATTCAAATGACCAGCTTTTATTCATTCATTCATGTAAAAAAACCTGTATAAATAAACAAAACCTTTATCCCAAAAGTAAAAAAAAAAAAAAGTGTAATTGCTGTAACTGATTATAATGTTTGAGTCGGAGTTTGGCTTCAATTTGTTATTTGTATTCAAATCTGCTAATACATTTATTCCCACCACAACCACTCCCACCCCCCACATGACTGACAATTCTGCTGTCATCTGTGTCCTGGATCATTCCTACAAAGTAGTGTCTCAATAATACTGGGAGTGTGTTACTGGCCAGATCACCAGGTGAAAGCAGAGGGAAAAGAAGCCAATAAAAGGAAAACACATCTAATAATTGGTGAAATGCAATATAATACATTTTGAGGTTTAATACTACTTTAAAGTCTGGTTTTAATTTTACACGGTGCAATCCTTTAAACCTTCCCACTTAGACCCAACATTCCTTTACTTTATGCATTTACTCTGTACTGTAGACTTCCTCTATTAATCCCTCTGAGACAAATTGTCTTTACAAGGTGAGAAGGTGTCTTCACTTGTCGGAGGTGTAAGGCGTATAGGTTGGCAGTGAACAATGTAAGGAGCTGTACTGCATCTTTCACTGCTAATAGATATTATGAGATCTTTTGAGTTTATCATTTGCAACACCACACATGTGGTTTATGTATGGCAATGTCTGTGTGATTTGCAGTATGTAGGCCAAACAAAGCATCCTCTGAGAAAGCAGAATTTCAGAACATATTCATAATATCATTATAGTTTTTTAAAAACACAGTGTATCCATGCATTTTTGACAGGCACATGGTAGAGACCAATTGGGTTTGCATTTTTGGGGAATTGACTGAGTCTACCCATTCTGGAGGGGATCAAACAGGATTATGGACCCCTTTAGGAGGGAGATGAAATTGAAATTCCTGACCGTGGGGGGGTCTAAATGTTGAGGTGGATATCAACTGCTTCATTAGTGATTATTCATTTTAAATTAGCCAATTAAGTCAGTTACGATAAAATCAATTACCTGAGGTTTCTTTATCTTTATAAAAAAAATCACTCACTTCTAGTTTTTATTAAAGAATGAGAAAAAGTAATTTATGAATTTTGGGAAGATCCTAATTGATATTTTAAGTCTATATAGTAAATAGGTGAAAGATAATAATTTTATATATAGTATTATTTACAGTATTTTAAATGTATGTTTGGGTGATTTGCTCATAGGGGCATTCATATTTTAGGGGGACTTTTGTAGTCATAAAAAAATTTGTATATTTTAAAAAGGATGGTATAGGATATTACTAGGAGGAAACAGAATTTACATGGATTTCTTTTATTGATGTCAATTGATATATATAATTTGTATAATATGTTTTTCATTTATATGTAATTTTTGCCAACTTGCTGGGGTTTTGTTGATTGTATAATTTAAGGCTAGGTCTCTGTGTCCAACTAATTGTAAATTATGCTGTAAGTCATGGGGAGGATTGCAGCATATCCAGTATTTACATTACCGGTTTACCTGTTGTCCAGGATATGTGGGGTTAACTTGTCGTAAAAGCCTTTGTAGAACAGGATTACCTGTGCCCCCATGTCTAACAGTGCCTTTGTGTACACTCCCTCCGCTTGGATGGAGATGATGGGTGAAGGGCCTACCAGATCATCAG